CTGCTACGTGTGACACCATATAATACCATATGCTTATGTTTTCTGGGCCTACCCCCAACGAGCTTCACACATCTGTTCCCCGATCTCGGCGGAGTCTGCATCGAAGGTGGTCCAGGTCTGTCTCCGCTTAATAACCGAATAAAAAATGATAACCCGAAAATAAGAAGACATCAAAGAAGCCCAGCCACAGACTGCAGGCCAAATTAAGAGAACTCTGTGGCTGCAGAGCCTAACAAGCTACGAAAAAGAAAGACCCGATAAAAAGAAATGAAGGAGAGCAGGTAATAAGTAGGGCGACTTTGGGATACCTTTTAGTTTGACTAATGTAACTCAAAATTATATATTTAACATGTTTATAAATCGTTAAGGTTTTTCCTATGAACCGTATTGCAAACTTATATTTTTGAAATGGGAGATCTGTTTCTCAGAACTTTATTAGATTAATATGAATCTGGGAAAATCGATGTATTATAGCTTTTTGAAACGATAGCTATATCTATAATATTTCCAAGCTTCATATTTTCCACCAAAATACAACAAATAATATGAATACCCTGTACCCAAAGAGAACGGAGAGAGGAGCGAAGCCATAATGCACAAAGGGTCATAATGATCGGCAAAGATCGCAGCGCGTTTGGAGACCAAAGACCACCGCCGTCTAATTTATTCACAGCGAGATGTGGGGACCGTTGGATCTGCTGGATCTGTTGGGGCTGCGTCTGTAGGTTCTGGACAGATCCGAGCCGCTCTTTAAACTCTTATTAATGAGCCGCGCAAGTGTCGCACGCAACGGGCCGATTAAGGTCCAGTTAACAGGGCTCGAAGGTGGCGACCGACCGTGTCCATGTCCGATGTCCAAAATCCGAATCCATGCTCGGGGCCAAGTCTGTATCCATGCACTGAAAAAAAGAGGCTTGAAGTTCACTTAAAATAACATATTATAGAAGTCCTATTAAATTTGTTCTTGAAATGTAATATTGTTTTTTATTTATTTACTTTTTACAAAAACTGAACTCTTCGGTATTCAAATGTACCATACCATTATCATGTTCCAATTCAGCAATTGATTTTAAAGCAGTGTATCTTCGGGATCTCTGGGATTGAAGTGCAGTCAGAGCGACGCTTTTATCGCCCTAATGGACCTGGAACCAGATACCAGATCCCCCAATCCGTGGACCGCCTCCGTGTGACAACTGGGAACTTGCTGTTTCAATTAAGGCGGCCCATAAACTCGGCCCTCTTTTCTCGACCGATGTCTGTTATCTGCGGGGCTTGTCACTCGCCTCGATTTTGTTTTCCACTAAATAAAGACATTAAAAAGGCCGTCGGGTTCTGTTCTGTTTTTTCTCGTGTCCCCTTGTTTCGGTTACGGATTTTCGGACGGGCTTAGCTGCTGGGATTTATTAGGGACCACCATTGGACTGTGTGGCTTAACACTTTTTAATTTCACTTGCCACACGGGGCAATCAATCTTGGGCCCCGGGATCGCGGAGTTATGAGCCTGAGAAATGGTCACCGGCCGAGAGTCATAAAGCATCATTAACAAGGGGCAGCTGCTCTCCGGCGCTTCGAGATGGTCATAACAGGGGATTTTTTGGACATGTATCTTGGACATTGGACATTGGGATGCACTTTTTGTGGGCGACCGCAGCAACAAGTTCCATAGAATCAGCTGCCGGGCGGGAAAAGTGTTGACAACTCGGCTTCTTGTGGGGTCGGGTCTCATCCGAAAAAATTGGGAGGTGGAGAGCAGGTGGTCTGTTCCCCCGCCTCGATTTTTGGGAATTATGTTTGCTTTATTGCAAGTTTTTTTTGTTGGTTTTTAGCGGGGGAAAGAGATCGAGAAAATAAGATTCGAGGGAATTCGTTACGGAATGCCAGACCTCAGAGCTTTCTGCTCTACTTTTCCCCTAGCCAGATTTAAACCGATTAGACTGTCCACTGGGGGTTCCTCCATTATCTCCAGCTGCTGGGAATTGAAAGGAGATTGCATACATTTTCTTTTCTATTCAACGCTCCACAGAAACACCTTGCAGAGCTTATTAATTTAATTTGGCTTAGGCCTTCTAAACTTCCTAAAAATTAATTTGAATTAAGTCTATTACTACCTATTGTTTCTATGAAGAACCATTCAAAAATCAAGAAAGAATTAATTTTCGAGACACCACATTTTAAATATTAGTTGGTGAATAAAGTATTATTATTATTTGAATCTAAATACTTACGTTTTCTTCTTTTTCCAGCTAATCCAACTAGAGGCTTGATAATGTTTGTTTCTAATATCCCAATTAACGTATTGAACGTTTAACCAGAAACCCATCGACGTGTTGAAATGCCTATCGCTCTCTTACCTCCGGGTTTCTTACCCCCACATCATCATATCGTAATCTTGGTAATCCAGAGACTAACAACGAAACTCGCCAAACGACCGATTCGAATCAAGCGAACATTTTCATGAATGAACCAATGAGTGAGTGAGTGAATGAATTTCGATTTCCACAACTCCTACACCACAATAGCGATAAGAAGGGGCATTTGGCGGGGGCACTCGGGGTCCCAACCTACTCGCGCATGCAAAACACGATTTACTATTAAGGCAAAATGCGCAGACAGTACAAAAAAAAGAAAAATACAAACCAAATTGGGGAAAAGGGGATTGGGGATCGCAGGGAGGAACCACAGAAGCCAGACAACAAACAACTTTTGACGTCGCATAGAAGAAATTGAATGGAGTGGAGTGGCTGAATGGAGGAGTTCCATGGTCTCAAGACTCAAGTCCGAGGCCCGGAGGAGTTTAGAGTTTTTAGACCCGACGCGACGCGACTCCATTCATAAATGGCCATGCCAAGCGGGTTTTGGCAACGTGCTCTTCGCCGGATGACTCATCTCCACTGGCTGGGAATGGGATATGGGATATGGGATGGCTATGGATGGCAATGGGGCACGTGATGCCATCGTCGAGGTGTGTCAATTAGCAGTTGGTTGTTGCAGTTGAAGAGGCGGTCACAGGAGGATGGGAGATGGGGATAGTGGATTGGGTTGCTGCATGAGGATGAGGAGTAGGTAATCGCTGGAGGTTTGCGTACAGGGCGTGACTCATCTCGTCATGGGAGCTGCTGTTGCCAAAGAGGTTTCTATTCTCTGGTTCTTTGCTTAGAAATTAGCGAAATTCTTGTTACCCAGACAGAATAGTCGTTAGATTTGCAGACGATATATGTATATTTTTAATAACAAGAATTTCGATAATTTTTTTGTAACATTTATTTTAATTTAATAGAAATAGGTTTTTCAAAGCTGAAGAATTGAGTTTTGGGATTTATCGATTAAGAAAATATGCACCCCTTATAGTTCACAGAAATCTTCACAAAATGAACTAGTTCTTTTTTAAATTTAACTCGGGATATCATATACCCAAGAGTGTTTCCTATTATAATGTATTTTTTGTTCTTTCACAGATCCGAAATAAAGGGAATTTTTATATTCAAAAACTAGTTCAACGTGGAACTGGAAAGTTCACCTCTGAAGACTAACGCCTATGCCAATTTATGAATGAAGCAATTGCCAACTGGTTTTTTCAGCGCCCAGACTTCCTGCGCCCTAGACTTGATCTGGAGGCCCAGACTAAAGCCGAGACTTGGAGCTAGACGACTGGCGACTGGAAGTGGGCACCCACATGATCCGCAGGCCAGCGACAATTGTGCGGGTGTTCCGCACAACCACTTCAATACTGTGTATCCACATCCGCTGGCTTCTCTATTAAATGCGGAAGAGGGCGGCATTCATATTCCAGCAAGTTCCTGCCCCCGACTCCAGAAATCCACAGTACCCAACTCCAACTCACGTGCTGGGCGGGATTCTCCGCCGCGGATTCGTTTTTGGTTGGGGCTCCGAAGCCCAGAGTTCTGGGTTTGGCATTGTCGGCTCGCTTTGTGGCGCCCACAGCCGCGTGCCGCTTTGATTAATTATGCGGTGCAATGTGGCCACCTACTCCTCCTCTTCCTCCTGCTCCTCCTCCGTCCCTTTGAATGGTTAACTGTCATTGTTCTGGTACATTCGTTTGCTTTATTCGTCTGTAACTGGCTGTAACACACAACAATTGACCCAATTATGAGGACATTGGGAATATCTGGACACGGCGGAATGATTTTTCATGTCCATTGAACAACAGCTCCGGTGGTTTTATCTCGGGTAAAAGATCTGTGTGTAAGTCAGGTTTATTTCGTTTATTAATTTATCATAATTATTAAAGATTCCTCAAATAAATAAGATAGCTATGTATTTAAAAATTAAGTAAATAGATTGGGAGAAAATTAGTTTAGAAGCAATACCTATGTTTATATTCGATTCCTCAAATAAATAAGATAGCTATGTGTTTAAAAATTAAGTAAATAGATTGGGAGAAAATTAGTTTAAAAGCAATACCTATGTTTATATTCGATTTCAAAGGTATCCTATTTTCTTTTTTCGTTAGTGTACAGTAATGAGTATACCAAGAGTTACTTAGCAAGTAAATTACTTATCAAATAGAACATTACTTTATAAAACAAAATAAGTAATATTTTCTAGAAGACTCTTCATTATAGGCTCACCATCAACTTCTCTCTACAACCCACACCGGGTATTGCATTTTCCATTTAGCCTTCCCGGCTAAACTTCATCCTTGGCTTGATTTCTTCGTGCCTGCCTACTTGTTCTTATTTTGTTACAATTTCCCTCGAAAGTTGCAACAAAGTGGCGAAAACAGCCGCCAGGAGGAAGGCAGTGCGCAATTTTACTGTCAATTAGGCGGCCACACGGGCAAAAGTCGAGTTTATTGTTGGGCCACCTTCAAAAATCGAGGCCGAGAAGTAGAATAAAGTTAACCGGCGGATAACTTTGGGGAGGTTCATGCACTGCGAAAAAAATGGCCTGAAATTAGAGACTCACATAAATGCTTAAGGCGTTAAATATTTTTTGAGTTATTCACTTTGACTATAACTATTTTCCCTCTTAAATTTCAGATGATGGACCGCGTCCCACGGCAGGTGTGTTCGACAGGGGATTTCAATGCGAAAAGAGCTGTGATTCAGGAGTCCCAAGGAGCGGGGGAACCCGAGGAGCCAGAGCACGAGCGCCACAGCAGCTGCCGCTGAATGGACAGCGGCTAATTCCCCGTCCGCCTGCCAAATGCCAAATGCCAGAATGGGAAGGCGGCAACAATGGACGACGCACAGGGTGAAGGTCAGATTTCGGGCAATCAAACAATGGACAAAGGAATCGTTTTGAATATGAAATGAGATTGGCACACAACGGGTCGAGAAATGGTAGTCGCCTTGACCGTAGGTGGACTCCAATTACCCTACGGCAGCTGTAACCGCCTCGCATCGTCTTGTTTTGGACTCGGAATCGGATTCGCAATCTCCTCGATCTCGATTGATCTTTCAATCAATGGCAGCTGCCTTTGGAGTGCGCCAATTTTCAATCTCGAACGTCAATATTTGCCTGGACTTAAGGCGGATTGGGAATTCCAGGAATGCCCTGCTTTTGGGGCAAATCAAGTTGGATATCTCAAGATAGGAGTGGACTATTGGATGACCTGTAGTTTAAATTTGAAGAACTTAGTTTGGTCCAATTTGCAAAAGAATTGCCAATCAAAATATTTACAAATAGTTTAAATGCTTCATAATCTCTTAGATCTCTTACTCATTTTTAACAACCATCATGTAGTTGCTATAATTCTAATAGGATTAATGAATTTATAATAGTCTGCATGGTACCCTAACCTCGATCTAATCACTTCCTTTGAAGGTGGAATACCGCCCTATATCCCCATTTAAACCACTGAGGATCAGGCACGTTATCGCCAGCTTTTTATCGTGCCACCGCCCAAAAGGAGCCGCGTCATCAGCGCAGATTGAAATAATTCCGAGTTGCCAACTTGCCAAGTCATCCCGAATTGGTCAGCGGTCGAGGCCTCAGATCTCTGGGTGTATATATGTGTATATTCCTGGGGAGGAGCGGAGATCGCGTGCGATAGGCAACGTCAATATTTGTGTTTATTTCTGGCTCGGATCGGATCGGATCAGATGGGAATGGGCATGGCCATGGGCATGGGCATGATTATGAGGTCCTTGTTAGTCCCTTTGAATTGGCGGCGCTTTCGCTTTGAGGTCGAACAAGTGGCTGCCCAATTTGCGCTCTGTTTGTGTATCATTTTGTGGGCCTGGCTAATTGTTTTGTGCCCTTAAAGATCGGCTACCTGACCCGATGTCGATCCAACTATGGGAATCTCGGCGGTTTTATTTGCCCTGGATTTCGTTATTTTGCGGTGGATGTGGGAAAACTGCAAGCAGGCTAGAAATTTAACAAGTTCTTTGGGTTGTACAAATTATTTAGAGTTTACTGGTAATTTTTTACGAGGTGACTGAAAGAAAGGGAATGAGAAATTGTGGTGTTGACATGCTGGTCTATTATTTATGTGAATTTGTATCAAAAAAAATATTTTAGATTTCGTACAAAACTTGTAGATATTTATTCAAACATTTATAGTTTACACAAAATTCTTTGGAATTTCTTGATCTTAACCATATCTGCAAATAAAAAGAAAATTTCTTTATAAGCTTGATGAACAAAGGCCGTACACATACTTCACCATTCTTTACAGTTTTGCTTAACTTCAGTATCATATGTACAATAAAATTTATTATAACTGGCTGTGAGGATCCAAAAAGTATGAAGATGTGGCTTAAGCTACTCCTCTTGATTGATGATCTGATACTTTCCCTCCTGCTTGCAGATCAGTCCCTTCTCCATTAGATTTTCCATGGCCTCGTCCACATTGTCCACCAGTAACAGCACTCTCTTCTCGGTCGTAATGCTCACCAGGCGCAGGATCTCCTCCTTGGAAGCAGCACCTCCCACCACATCTATAGACTGCCAAACAATCTCCTCCATAGGGTCCTCATGATTAATTTCGAAAGACATTTTCACTTATTAAATTTAAAAAAATGTTTGGAAAAAACTTTCTTTTATTTCAAAAATGTTAATAAATGGATACGACTGTACGCAAGCGAAGTAGAATGAAAAATGAGTAAGAATAGTACAGGCTAAAGTTATGAAGTTTTATTTAGATTTCCAAAGCCTTCTTCATGTTTGAATAAGTACAGTCTAAAGTAATGAAGTTTTATTTCGATTTACAAAGCCTGCTTCGTTTTTTAATTTTTCCAAGGATCCAATTTTTTTTTTCTGCAACCCTGGAGGTAACCCTTCTAATTAGCAGTTCAATTTATTGGTTCATAAGTTCACGGTTCATTTTCTGTCACTTGATTTTTCTAGCTGACAGAAGAAATTCGTCATTTCACTGCATTTTGTGCTACGAGAATTTTCTTTCGAGTTCTCCGGATTCTTTTTACGGTTTTGATTTTGTTAAAAGCCTAGAGTTCTTCAGAATGAGTTCTTTAAATAGAGAAATCGAAGTGAATTCTACGCAGACTACTGAGCAAAATAATTTGCAGGCAGAAGAACAGTCTGGGTGAGCTAAAAAGATGCATTTCTTAGTCTGCAAGTCTTCCCCTAACCAAAAATTCTGTAGTCCCCCCAATCATGAGCAAATCATAAGTCCCCAAAATCATGAGGATCTGGAGGAGCTGGTGCCGGGCCTCACTCTCCTGCAATGTGTCCTAATCAAGAATTCGAACCTTGATGACGTGGCCGGCCATTGGGTTGAGCTTTACATGGAGACTCCCACATATGCCTTGGTTACTATAATGCAGTTTGTGGTGGAGGCCAGTGGAAGTCACTACATGATTCCAAAGAATACTGCAATGCCGTTCTCCTACGGGGACATCCTGGTACAAGGCTCCCTGCAGTATCGTAGTGTAAATATGTTTGAGGGATGTAACTCAGAATTGCTCATCCTAACTTGCCCTTATCTCTTCTTAGGTCAGCATGTATTATCCCATGATATCGAAGACGGCGGAAGTATTTGCCCGCAGGGTGGTAAGCTTTTTGGAGGCCCTTCTGAAGGCGGTCCATGACCTACCCACCCCTTTGTACAATTTGTTTTTGCAAGAGGTGACGGGCTTTGTGATGGCCTGCTCGGAGTCCAGTGTTCGTCCTTTTCGTCATACGAGCACCATGGTGGGTAAGTAACTAAAGCAATATTAATTAAATTAAATTGAAAGAACCTATTTGAAATGATAATCCTTTGCCTTTCCTTTCAGGTCTCAAAATGATGACCATTTTGTGCGATCTCACATCCGTGGACAATGAGCTACTGAAGACACTGTGGATACAGATGTTTAACTGCCTATTTGTCAATCGCTACGAGGATGTGGTGGACGACATAAGGTTCCTTTGTATCTCCGAACTGGGCATGTGGTTCAGCAAGTACCCAGCGTGTCATTTGGAGCCACACGTCCTGCGTTACTTCTTCGAAGCTTTGCCTGATAGCTCGACAATGGTGAGGCAGTGCATCCTGACCAACCTCTCACGGCTTTGCCGCCAGGAGGACCTCCGCACCATGTGCTTGGAACTGGGCCGTGAGTTCCGGCAACTATTCATAAACTTATCCGTGGACAAGGAAAATGAAATAGCAGAGGAATCCCTGCGCGTCCTTACCGAATTTTATCGATCTTCTCCAGAAATTCTTAGTGAGGACGATTGCAAGGTGATTGAAGAATTTATACTCTTTGCAAATCGAGGAGTAGCCCAGGCAGCGGCGGAATTTTTCGTCCTGCGCAGAAATGAAACAAAAAATGCACAATTTTCACAAAAAATTCGTCATCTGCTACAGTTTTTCGTCGATAGATGTGGGCATGAACATGCTGGCTATCTGGTGGATTCTTTTTTGGACAACTGCGAAATGGTTTTGGACTGGAAGCCCATGATAAAGATGCTAATGGAGGAACAGTCCCCAAAACTAACCGAAGCTGAAACCTCCGCATTGATTGAAATTCTCACCAAAGGCGTTAGACAAGCAATCACTGGTGAAATACCGCAAGGAAGATATACCAAGGATCTGAAGAGGGAGCCAAAGGCGGGAGCCCAGGTGAATGCCACCAGATTACTAGCACCTGTGTTGCCCCAACTACTTCGAAAGTATGTGGACCGCCCAGACGGTGTTGCAAATCTTCTGGAACTGCCGCAACACTTTTGTCCCAAGTACTACCGGGAGATTAATAACCAGTGTCAACTTGCGGAACTCTTAGATGAGATGGACATCCTTATGTTCCGTCAAACGAGCAACCGTGTGTTGCGGAGAGGAGCTCTCACTCTGAGTCTTCTTTTTAAAATGGAACCCACTCATCTGCACATACTGCAGATGCTCAACAGTGCGGTGACCAACTACAAGATCGCGCTGCGCACTTGGCAGGAGCAGTATGGCATGGTCAGCTCACCGTCCTCTTCATCGTTATCCGGCTCCTCCAAAACTCCGAAGAGCCGCTCCCGCCGACTGCTAAACACCTTGCGATTGTTGTGCGCCCTTTACGCACACTTTGACCTCAGTTTCGGGGGACTGACCGAGTCGGTTTTGTCCAGCCTAAAGAGAGTGATCAGGGTGCGGGATATGGGCAGAGATGGCCTGCCGGCGGAGGCAGTTTCTCTTTATCTGACTGCATGCTACTTCAGCCTTTCCTGGGACCTACACACCTTCACGAAAGAGGCCGCAAACAATTCAAACTTGGATGATTCTTTCGCCGCTATCAAGAAACACTTTGAGGACTATCTGTTTGTCACCTTTGAACAGGTTGTGAGTGCTAACAATATGCAATATGCATATAGTGTGAGTATAGGAAGAATAGCTTTAATTAACAGTTTAACTAACATATTTTATTTACAGTGCCTATCATTTATATGCGACATATTTGTTAATTATGGATATCACCTACTTGACAGTCCCTATGAATTAGTGCGTTCCCTAACGTACGCACCATCAGTAAATGAGGTGGAGATACTGGACAACTTCGTGTTGCGACATCACTTTCAGACGAGTCCTGCCGATCTTATGAAGGAATCGAACTTTCTTCAGTTGCAGGAACTGCGTCGCAGCCTGGCCAGCTACTGCAAGCTGGTGGCCTTCAATGTGATCCCACCAATGCGCGCCGCTAGGATTTATCAGTACTACGAAAAGGTTGGCAAGTGAAACGAAAAAAAATGACATTTTAATTTAATCACCTTGCCGTTTTCAGTACTATGCTCCCTTTGGTGACGTTTTTAGATGTTCCATGGAACTCACAATCAAAGTCAATTCCATTCACTATGGTATGGCAATGTTTCACACTGGTCTGCTGCTATACCAGAAGATTATGGACGATAATAGCGGTGATAGTGTCAGGGCTGCCGGTTCCCCACAGTTTCTTGAACTTATCAGCCTGGCCTCTCTCTTGGCGGAGACCCTGAGTTCCGATCTCTATGAGAATCGCAACGCTATGATTACTCTTCACAAGGCTGGAATTATGTACGTTAAGGAATCGATTCCGGACCGACCCACCGCTGCCCCGAAAAATCTACTGTTCTTGAGGGTCATGCAGATGTTTGTTCCGCAGCTTCTAAGGCAGGACAAGGTCAAGATGTTGGAATTACTTCAGACCATTGAGCAACCGGCGTTACCTTCCTGCAACAGGGAGGAGTGGGAGCCTTTGGAAGGATATCGTTCCGCTTTGGGTGCTTCCGGAAGAAGGGGTCGTTCGGTTTCGGTGTGGCAACTTAGGGAACTTAACTCTTAAATGGTCTTGATTATACAAAGAGTACGGGAGAGATTTTGAAAAATAAATGGCTGCTTCTGTTTGATTAACTCCTTCAAATGTTAGTGCACTTAAGTTGAGAATGTTTTGGTCTCCGAGTTCAAATTGTTCGACATGTGTCCGCACATTCGTGTTCATCCTGGTTACCTTTCTGTGTGTGAGTTTGACTGAAATTGGAAAACTCATCTCTATTTCGCCTGTAGCATTTGGCGGAGCTTTCCTGCTGCAGTGCCACCATTCGTATAAACGGCCACAAAAGGTTGCGTAATAACGCCCAGTATCTTGTATCTGCAGGCTGCATTCAGTCGTCAGCTGCCTTGGTATCGAATTTCCAAGTCCCATTCATATCGAAGGCTGCTCAGCAATTTTCAATTTCAATGCCCGCTCGCTGACAAATTGACTCGCAACTTTGTGGGTTCTCTAGAGGAGTGAAATGGTGGGGGTTCCTTATGTCAAAGGCTGCTCGAGCCAACATGGCCTTTGACACCCCGAAATGGAGATGGGGCAGGGAACCCAATCCCAGAGCCCTCAAGGTGGGCGCTAAAATTTTGGAAACGAAACTACACGAAATGAAATTCAAGTGGATATTGGGTCACTTCTGGTTTTGGTTTTCAAGTGCCCGGCCGTTTGTCCATTTCCTTGGCACATGCCAAGTGGTCGCCGAGTATCCGATTTCGGGGCACCGGGAAAACCTACAAACTCCCATAAAGGAACTGCAGTACTTTTGCAGATTCCAGCGGGCACAGCTGTGGGAGATGCTCGGCGAAACATTCCTGGCCATCAAGCACAAGGCGGATCGATCGTTGGGGAGCAACATCTGGTCATACTGATCTTAATTGGAACATCTCCTCGAAGGAGGCACACTTCGGTGGATCTTGTTCTGCACTGAAAAAAACAGCCTATTAAGTTTTAGTGCTTAAAAATTTAAAAGGGGAATCTACACCTAAATTTCACATTTTTCTATTACAATTTAAAAAAATATTTAAGTTGTGCTGGGATGTTGTATTCTCTCTTTCCTTCTTTATTTTAGGCGAAGTATTTATTTTACTCTTGATTCAACTCAATTTGCAAAGTGTAATACTATGGTGTGTATTGTAAAAGAAAGTCCGTGAAAGGATATCTTATCATAAATAACTTGTTTTGTTATTGATAAGAGTCCTTAAGATCTTGTTTATCGTTGGGTTATTATAAGGAGAGTGGTATTTTCCCAGTGTACCCGACAGGTAGCAACGAACTGAGCCAAGCAACCTGGCCATCAATTTCGCGTAACGGGCTGCGAGAACCGCTAGGCCATGGCAATTGCATTTCACGGTCCTTTCCGATCTCCCCGATCTCTGATCCTGGCTCGCCAGCGCCAACGGAACCTGATCACAGATGTCCTGACGGCCACAGCAGATCCGATCGCCCTCGGTTGCGGTTTAACGAGATGTGCGCCCGCCCCCTCGACACACGCCTCCACAGAAACCCCCGAGCCGAGATCTCCCCTAGCACGATTTTCGGACCTGATAATAAACCCCGTCCGCTCCTCGAGCGAAAGTGTAACACAATTTCAGACACGCGCATCTGTCGTTCGTTTTGAGTTTCGGTTTTCGGATCTTAAGGAACAGTTGTGGCCCCCGAAAAAAGTGCAGAATTGCTCGCAAAAAAGAGGAGTTTTAAATACCCAAGAAGGGGCGACACGTGGCACTTGATTCGTATCACATTTCTGGACTATTTCGGGAGTTTACATTTCGGCAGGGAAGGGTTCCACTTCAGTCTTTTTTTTGTTTCGTTGACTCCTCTTGCCAACTGTCAACCCATTTGGCCGATATTTATGGCCAGTTGCCGTTGGGCATCGGGAATTCTTGGGGGAGGGGTCGTTGGCTGTTGCAACTGTTATTAACATGAATTTATTGCTTGTTTCGGCCTTTTTCGGCTGCGAATTTGAATTTCAGCGAACAAAGTGTGACCACACCGGTCCTTTAGCGCTATTAGGGCCTAAAAGGGTTAAGAGCTTTGCAGTGCGGAGAAAATATGGCCTGTTAGAAGTGCAATATTTTGTGTGCTCACCTTTTTTCATTGAAAAATTGTATATAATACATAATTAATTTTAATTTTAGAAATTTGGAACATGTTGGTGCTAATTTACCTTGTTTCAATGTTAAAAGGTATGATATACAGTTCTTTATTTAAAATATGGAGAAATATAGTTCTCAAAGAGTTATTTTGACATAACCTTAAACCATGTTTATAGGACAAACAGTTTGTTTACCCAATACTTCTCATTTATGTAAAACATCAAATAAGTATATTTTCCCTAGGATAAGGATCCTAAATATATAATACCCCATAATTTATCAATCTTTTGAGGCCACCTTTTCCCTCTCCATTCGATTTGAAAAATGTCTTTCTAATCGTTTTAAGAGCAACAACATTAACAATATGAACTTAACCAAATCCGTGTTGGCCCCGTCAAGTTGCGTGTAAAAACACGAATTTCTCGATTCATCATCGCGACAGGAGGTCCTCACTCGAGGTCCTTCGGATCCTCGCGGTTCCATTGATAAATGCCAAACGAAATTTGTCGATTGTCAATCAGAGGATCTTGGGTTTGAGTTTTTGAGTTTTTGAGTTCGAGGTGATCCCTCTCGACTCCTCGACTGACAGCAAACACGCGGTGTTGTCCTTACTCGTTTTTTCTGTTTTTGTTATTGTTGCTGCTGCCTAATGTCTTGGCAAATAAGGAGCGTCGCTCCTGGCGACGACTTCTGCCACGGTAGTCCTGCGTGTCCTCCGCATGTCCCATATCCCCTGGATGTCCTCTGCTCCCGGCAGTCACGGTGTGTGTAAATCAGGCCGCCTGTTTACAAATGTGTCGCCATCGCGTAACTCAATCCTTGCCGCGCTGGCAACACAGGATGCGCTCGACAGCCGTCGTCGGCTTGGCAAACCAATAAATACCATTAGATGTTGCCCTAAGGACTCCTACCTCGCCCCTTACACGGAGAAAAAGGAAAGGTGTTTATCGGAATTTTAGGAATTTTGAATTAGTTAAAGTTATAATGATCTTCAGAATAATGTGTAGTACATTCCCAAATCCCAAGTTATAAGAAATTCCTAGAAACGAATTAAATACAATTGAAGTATAACGATGGGTATTTCAACTCATATTTAAAAATTAAACAATTTAAATTCGGAACACAAAAATCAAGTGGTCCTCAAAAAATTATAAATTGAATACAATCTAATAAGATATCTTTATAATAATACAACTTTAGTTGATCTTAGAACTAATCGCTTTCTTATTTAGTACCCTAAATCCGTGAAAATATTTTCCGTGCTTCTTGTGTGTCAACAATGTCATGTGTCTGCATGTCGCCGTCTTTAACATATGTCCTTTAACACACACACAAATCCTTGGCAGGACAAAGGTCCCAGGGTGCAGCTGAACTCGCTCAGGACACGCATAAATTAACGGGCCGGGAGTTACGCTGATTGTAGCCCTAATCCCCGGTTCCTGATCCTGCACCTTTTGGCCCCATTAGCACGCGTTCTCCGCGCACGCGCAGCCACTTGAAAGGATAACGAATTCCGACTCCACTTCGGGGGCTACGTGGTGCAAGCAGGCGGCCAAGGGCCAGGACCCAGGGTCCTCTGGCTCAAGTGCCAGGGTTAAAATTAGTCGAGCCCTGTCAGCAAATCTGATTTACGCGCCAGCTGCTCCTTTTTCTCCTCGAACCCAAATCCCGGCCTGCAATCTGCGCTCAGCTTTTCGTTCTCGGGTCTGCCTTCTTTTCCCAAATTATAATTTTAGTGGCAATCTAATTAAGCAATTACAAGCGTGTTGTTGAGCTGCTCTTGGCGTGTTGATTTATAATACTGGAAAAGGGGAAAAGTGGAGAGCAAGGCAGATGGTGGATATGGAATCTCTAGAGATGATTTCCGTACAGATTTATGTTGGGGTTTTACATGGTGTTGAAATTGTAGTTAATAGAAACCTAAGTTTATATAAAAGTAAACAAAAATTTAGGAGATTTTATTGTTTTTACCTATAAAATGCAACTATCCCTTACTTTAAGAAGTCCTTTATACAACATCTTACTCATCATAAATTATATTCAATGTGGAACTGTTTTTCTGCGGGTGTTTTTATTTAAGTGCAGTAATAAAGCCTGTTTTCCAATAATACATTTTACAAATGAACAAACAAGACTTCCTCTGAGGCCAAATTTGAGCGGGAAATGTTCCTTCTCCCATTTTTGATATTATTCCCTCTCCACTTCATTGGGTTTACAAAATAGGAAGGTCTTTTGGTCTAGGACACTCGACTTGACACCGGGACAGTTCAATTAAATGCGATATTTACAACACCTGACACGGACCACAAACTGGACAAATTAGTTGACAGGCCAAAGACGTTGACCACAGATGGTCAGGGGTCAAGTGCTGCTGGCCGGGACCCCAGATGCACTTCTTGTACCTTTGGATAGGGAAAGTGAATGAGAATTAATTACCATGCCATCGATATACAAATATTCCATAAACTTGTAGATATAATTTCCCGATGGACCGAATAACCCCATCCGATCCGACACATCCTCAACAATTAATCATGCGAAGCGACATAACTTTCGGTGAGATTTTTAATGACTGCGCCTGCTGTCATCACGACGATCGTAAAAACTCCGGCCCGTGGGCCATCAAATAGATTTATTATTGAAAATATTTTGGCTGTCCCTGGGATTGTGTTTTGGGGTCCTTTCCTTGCAGCAAGGATGTGGCATCAGGATGATCCGAAGGATGAGGTGGCGTTTGCGGATGCCCAAAGCAAATGTTGTGTTAAATTTATTTTTATTGTATTTTGTCATTTTATGATGACTCCGCGCACTCCCTTTCCTCCGTTTTAGTATTGTTTATATGTATACAGTTCCCGGGGCATTCGATTTCGATTCGTCGAGGGTCATAAAAGTCGAAATGGTCAAACATTGGGGCATTTTTCTGGGCAGGGTATCTTGAGGGTGCAGCTGTCTTTGGATAGAAATCAATAAGTTACAATCAGAATGGAACCAGAAGCTTTTCCAGTAGCCCATAGCGATTGAATGCCTTCATCTACGGTTCTCTACATATCCGTTTGTAGCGCCGACAATCCTGTATACCACACTAATTAACCCTTGTAGCTCGGCGAGATGGATGACAAAAATGGAATGGGGCGGGATCTTGGGCCGAGGAGCACATACAACACCTTTACACATAATTAGGGGCCTGTTGACTGCTCCCGACAATGGATGTGTGTGTCTATATGGAAGGTAAACACATGTCTAAGACAAGGCACTGCAAGAAATATAAAGAAAGTTCTGGGGTTTGATTGGTGATTACTGGATTATATGATTACGAGACATCGGATGTAAACCCAGCTGACTTTAATGAATCTTAAATTTGTTATACAATATCTCAACCAGTCAGGCCTTAATATTATAAAAACCATTATTAATATAACTTTAACTTCACTGGATTTCAAATTATGCACTCTATGACAGAACTTAAAATTTGAAGTGGAAGTTCTAGATTTCTCGCAGTGCACCCTAACTTCTACTTGTTCCCAACCACCTCCGGCTGGAGCGTCATCTTGGTGCTGCTGCCATTCATTAATCCACATAGAAATGCCAATGGCAGAGTGAGATGTTGATGGTGAGCCGATGGAATGGAGATGGAGATGGAGAGGTGATGGTGATGGTGACCAAGGCGAATGCAAACGAAGGCGGCCGAGGCGGCACAACAACAAAGCGGCCAAGAGGCCTATTAGCCACAATAAAGAGGCAGCCCCTGCCACCTCCAAATCCCCAATCCCCCTGGAAATTCTATTATGCAGATGAATGGATATGGGACTGACTGACTGACTGGGTGTTTGTGTGTTTGCCCCGCCAGATGCCATTACAATGTAAACCCAACAAAAGTTCACTCGGCAAACTTGATGCGGGCCTGGACCAGGGGACGTCTTCATCTTCTCCAGACACTTCTCCACATACATGTGTATATCCGAGGCAGCACTTCCAGCCACCGCAGCGGAACAATTGATCAAATATCATAATTTATCAAATGACAATGCAACAGGCGGCGGCATCGGCGGCCTCTGAACGTTTTCGTTCCCGTATTTACTTGCCCCAATCCCCACACCAAAGACCCCGATCTCATCTTACCGATCCCCGATCTCCAATCCCCCATTCCATTCGAAAGCTACAACTTAATTTATTTGGACAATTTAGGTCTGACACAACAGCCATCGTTTGGCTGTCGTGTTCTCGGTCCTCTTATTTATTTCGATGGTCAGTCGGAACCCAATCTATTTAGCATAATTGCAGCTACGATCGAACCGAGAGACCAGATAATAATGCATTCTTGTGTGGGGTCTGTGTAATCCTAGATAGGCCACAGTGGGTCAAATAACCAAATTAAAAGGCCAGGGAAAATATTGGGACAAACCGTTTATTGTTCTATTATGGTAAACCTGGTCATGGCATTAGTTCTAATCTTACCGGGGAAAGCATTCTATATTGGAATTGGGAAAATTTTCATACTAAATAGTGTCAAGTTTGCTCACAAATTGGTAGGTTTATTAATGCTGTATGGGTATCTTTCTGGTTGGTCTTAGATTTCTAAAAAGCTATTATTTTTGAAACTCTTTTTGATTTAGTTACTTGTAGAGTTTTTAAATTTTAAATTTGAGAATCTGAAGAATTCGCGGTTAAAGGAATCAGTACAAGTGATGTTTATGATAATTTCTTGAAAGTTATTTTATGCCTTAAGATAAAGTCACCTGTGACTTAATTCTCCATCAGAACTAACTGTGTAATATATTTTAAATTTCTGTGTGTTGTGTATACTGAAAAATTTGCAGTACTTGTAATTTCTTTGAGATCCAAATTGCCATGGACAGTTATGCGAGGGCCAGGACACTTCAGGAGGAGGCGGGAGTTCCTCCTGGGGGAGTCAAGCGATGTTGCTGCAACTGCAGAAGGAAGCTGGATCCCTACCAACTGTTCGATGATAATGTGGAGGACATAGCCAAGAGCCTGGCTCAGATAATGCTGATCTGCGGCATCAGCACGGCGAAATCCTGTGCTGCCAGGTCGATTATCAAGAGGGCCTTCGTTTACCACGAACGATTGAGGACCACCTGTCCACCAAATCCGGCGCCAGGGAGTCGCTTGAATCGCGAGGACTTGCTGCAGGCTCTGCGACTTAAGTGCGAAATGGAACCCGTGGAGGCGATGCTCACCTATGCGATCATCAAGCGGGCCTTCAAAGCCTTCTACCACGGCAAGCCCCTCGTGACCATCAGCAATCCCATCGTGGACGCCATGGCGATCCACACCCAACATGCCGCCTGGATGCATGCCGCCCACAAGACCGCCAGGATCTTCGACAACTACAAGGCGGCTTTCTTCTGGGCCCACAAGCACTACGAGAGGCAGATCAATCTGGTGTACAGTGCGCTCTACCAGCGGATGACCACCAGATCGGACCCCCTCCTGGTGCCCGGCTGCCCCTGCAAGGGCTGCTCCAAGCAGGAGGTTCCCGGGCATCCCAAGGCGGGCCAAAAGCAGATGACCAAGATCAAGCTGTCGGAGGGTGCAGATCTCCCGGAACCCTGCATCCTCTGTGGCCTGCAAGTGCCGCGAATGGAGAAGGATGTGAAGATCAAGGTGAAGCCCCCGCGGCCCATCATCAACCACGAGGTCAATCTTCCCAGATGCCAGCAGTGCAACTCGCCCTTCCTCATCTGCGAGTGCAACATCGACCAGTTGACGGGCGAGCAGTTTGGGGAATGTGGTCAGGACTCCTACAAGGTGAAGTGGTATCGTCTGGAGGAACCAGTGGCCGTATCCCAACCCAAAGCCCAGTCGCTTGGCGACGAGGAGCAGGACACCAGCTATGCGGAGGCCTTGGAACCTCCAGAGGATTGGGACAACCATCACTGTCCCATCGACTGCAAGCATGACTCCTGCAGCGAATCCTCCAATGTATGTCATAGCACCTCCTCCTCGGAATCTTCGGGAAGTGACTTTGCCACCTGCGAGGAGGGCGATGATAAGGAGGAGGACGTGGTGGCCAAGTTGGAGGATTACCTCAACAAGCTCTGGGCCGAGGAGGTGGCTCAAAAGAAGAACCCTTCGTATGTGCCTAGAACCATTGAACCACCTGGCTTGAAGTGTCTTAAATGCAAGGATTAATTATTGGAATCCCATATTTCTCTGTTAAAATTTTGGCTATATAAATTATTGAGTGAAGGAAAGTAGAAAACGGAAGCAGAGAATGTGTTCAACTTATAAATTTTGAAGAAACGATAAGCTAGATATACATGTACCAAGTTCTTACTATCCACCCTTTTAGACTTCTTTAATCCTACAAAAATTCAGAAGTCTGAAAGTGCGGGAGGTGTTCTGTCACTCCTGGTGTCACCTTTAGTTCAACGACTTGCTATTCCCCTGGGCCACCCACTCCCAGTCCTATTCCCAATCCCAATCCCATTGCCACCTGGGGAATCGATCGCCCACACGGGAGCTGGCGCTTATCACGCGCCCACAGATCGCGCCTTGACAATGGCCACTTAAAATGCCATTGCCAGTTGTAATCGCCTCTAAATTGCTGGCACCTCGCTTTTTGCCCAGCCTGGAATGGGATATGGGCTATGGGATGCGGCATTCAATGGGTTGGAGCTACTGTTGTCATCGCCGGCTGCTCCGCCCAGCAGCTCCCAGGAGCTTCCACATAAATCGCTGCCCTTATCTAAGCACTTGCATCTCGCTCCGAACAGAGCTGCGGATCCGCGGATTCGGATTCGGATTCACGCTCCTCCTCGCCGCTTATCAATCTCAGCTCATCTGCACGCAGAACAGAACAGAACTAAACCAGACAAAAAATAAAAAAACAGAGAACGGAGCTGAAGTTGGAGAACATCTTCTGCGAAAAATAATTCCGCAACTTGTCACATTTTGTAAGATTCAAAGTCGCAGAGACAGGCACTAAACTGCAGACGCCTCTGCGCCAGGGATTCGGGGATTGGCCAGCATTGAAAGGAGTCCTTGACTGTCGGGATGAGACTAGTATTACTGGGTATAAAAGGGGTTGATCGACTATAGCTGGAAAATACATAAAGGAGTAAACAAAAATATAAACGTTTCCCAAAGATATGGCTTAAAATATAATGTACAAATATTTTCAGTAGTCAAAAGTGCATATCATACCATATAAAACTTATATGCACTCATATGCCAAAATTCCAGATGATCTATAGAGATTATAGGGATAATAGTAAAATTTTTTGTGAAAACAACGTTCATTGAAGCTCTATAAAACATAATTTAATAAAGAATGATTCAAGCTTATGTTGGATCTTTCGAAAACTTAGAGCTTAATTTTCAGGGGGCTTCCTGTAGTCGAATTATCCCGACTTACCCTGACTATTTTTGGATAGGCTCAGGCTTCACCCTCGAATTCCTCCCGCCTGGCTTTCCGAATGTCTTCGCATCTGTCTGTCGCTGTGGCATGTTAAACTGAAGTCACATTTGCATATAGATTTATTTTTATGGCCACTGCCCTCGGATGGCTCGTGAACTATTTATGTGTGACGATCGGATCGGTTGGGGGAGAAAGATCTCTGGCCGAGGATCGTTTCTTGCCCAACTATGCTGGCATTTAAAGACCCCCATTAAATATTTGGAAATATTGGAAATCTCTGGATAATTCCGTCTTGCAAAATTCTTAATTATGATATGCTCACATTGAGTTTCTCTATTAGCCCAGATTTGATGTGTCTTCCCATTCCCTTACTTCTGATGGGGATTGTGTGTGTTGGGGTAAACAAAGCCCTCACACCCAATTGAGAGCCACTTTTCGATTTTGGATGGATCTTGGAAGCTGTTCAAGAGACGCAAGAAACCATTGAACTTTTCAATAGCCATCAAATTTGCGTCTAATGCGAACTGAGACCCGAAAGTTCCCGCCATCGTCTTCGAATTTGTTATACCCCTGCACTCAATAGGCACTGCAGCCACTCGAAGTTTACTTTGATTGTTGGATTCTAGTGCACTCGGAGAAAAAAATTGGAATTAAAAAATGGTACTTTACTTGACTTCAAATCTAAAAACCAGCGAAACTTCAATGACATTGAAATCATCTATACAGGATCCTTAAAGTATGCAACAATATTTATGTTGCATACTTTTAGACACTTTTATAATCGATTTTAAATTAAATATTCAGTAAAGGATTTTTTAAAAAAAGATTTATAAATATAACAGAAACGTTGAATTATTAAAGGTAGATAATGGTACGCTTTACTTTCCAATCTCATCTATGGAAATGTATAACTAAGTAACTAGTATAAGTTTCATTTTAGAACCACTATAATTTTTCTGGGTGTATGTTTTGTATCGATCTGTTCCATTGTTGTGGGCCTGGAGCTTAATAGTCTTTATATAGCTGCACTTTTTCAACTTCAATTAATGAAGTGTCGAGTTGTTAACACCAAAACACACGCCCTGCTCCCAGTGGTGCAGCCTACTCCTCCCGATCCCCAGGGCCCAATGCCCAATCCTCAGTCCCCACTACCCAACACCCTATAGCCAATGCCCCTCCTCCTCCGTTTATGCCATCTCCCCATGGACCTCTATTTCCAAACATTTCGCCCAGCCGCGAGATGGGAACAAACTCCGCCGCTGCTGCAGGTGGGGCAGCCGAAAATGTAAACAAACAAATTAAAACGAGCATCGACAGCAGCTGCAGACTTTGCCTCAGGTGAGAAAACGGGGCTGGGAGCTCGGGAAATGGGGAAAAGTGGCCGAAGGGGGTCGCAGGGAAAATGCATTTTCACGGCAGCGCCAAAAGCAAACAAGCCAGACAGCAACTGGAAAACGGCAGCGGCCAGAAGCTCTTTAATCCCAAAACCTTTGGTGGCACTTAGCGGTTTACGAGGCTCTCGAGAGCATGCCTTTAAAGTATTTAGATAGCTAGGTGAAAAAGAAGAAATGGAGCCAACCGTAAAGCCTTCCATCCGGTGCTTTTTTGGCGACACTTTGTCGAGATTGAGTTGTTAAAGTTTGATGTGTGATTTAAAGTGGATTCTTAGCGTCAATATACAGTGGGAAACAGTTATAAAGAGGATGTTATATATAAATAAATGGTATAATATTTTATATCATTATTGAACTCTATGAATTATGTAAAATTTTATTTTAAACCCTGTGAAATCGTTTCCATTTTCCCAGCCTAACACTCCTTACTCCCACCTTAACTCCTTATTTATTGACCAGTTAGTACACTTCTCACATCATCCCATTGTGGTTCAGTTTGCTCCGCTGCTTCACGGTGTCCAGAAATCAGAAATCAGTGTGGGAAAACAGTTGGAGCGTCAACTGAAGCGCCGCTTCCACCCGAAACTCCACAAAAAAGAAGAATCAAGTGTGGAGAAGGCCGCCGCCAACGCATCCAAGAAGTTGGACTCCAAGAGCAGTGAGAAAAATGTTAATGATAAACCTGTTTGTCAATTAAACAAAAATATTGTAATAGTTGATAACAGAATGGGCAAACACGAAGTGCAGTCAGAGGGAGTGAGATGATGAGAACTTCCCAGAACCGAAATGCTGGAAATGGTGGGGCAAATGGGGGGAATCGGGGGAACTGGAGGGCAGAGGAGCAGCCAGGGACAACCTGTCAACCCAAAAGGGCCCAAAGGCCCGAAGGCTGGACTGACTCGATGTGCTTGACTTTGGTTTCATTATCGCCTCGCCTTCAACTTCAATTTTACCATGTCCCAGGCCCAGTTCGAATTATGCACTGGGGAAAATGGGGACAAACTGAATATTATAAGGTGGAGTACTAAGGAAAGTATACCTTCTATCAAATCAAGTTCGAAGATTAAAGGAAGTTTAGTTTTTTTAGGGAACCAATCACAAGATATTATAGATTTAATATTTTAATAAGACTATATGCCTATAGCCTATTCAAAAGGTATTGTACAATACTTTCTAGGACTTGTTTTTTATCTTTCACTCCCATATATTATAAGGTTCACCTCATTGATCTTTACTTTTTAGGTTCCTAAGGTATCGTACTATCATATCATTAAGTCATGGTGGGCCAATCAGCACCCCTTTTTTCCCAGTGCCATTCCATTCGCATCTCTCGGCCAGTTGGCCGCTCTGGCTTATTGTTTAGTGAAGCATTTAACTTTTAAATATGATTGTGTGTGGCAAGAGGAAAAGTGTTTTGTGCATGTGATACCGTTTTGAAAGACATTCCGAGTGGCGATATGGCGGGCGGAGGGGAGTTGTAAGTTGGCGGGGGAATTGGGGGCATCTCGGGCACTTCACTCGCAGCGCTGTGAAATATTTCCCATGACAATTCTGTTTGTTTTTCGTGCATTGTGTGCTCGGTTGGCACCTCACCTGGACGGACTCCACCACTCCACCACTCCACCCAACTTATCCCACATTTCTGGACCGCCTTGTCTTGTCTCGTCGCCCACTCGTTCGTGGAGGCCCCCGTCATCGAGGGCTGCCCAACACAGGTTACCCATCCCCATCCCGATCTCCATAGCCATCTCATCTGGAATGGTCCACAATGTGTGGAACAAGTTTGCTCTATTTGCTTTATCTATGCCCATTGCCGGTGACGGCTGTCTCTGCTTTTTCCCAGGCACAAGGCTCCTCTTGAGCGACAATAGCTGCCAGGCAATTCCCATCCCCATCCTCCACTTCTGCCCACCGGAGGGGGCTCCTCCAACTACCAACCAAATATGGCGGCATTAGCTGATGGGTATTTCAACAGGCCGCCCGGCACGGGTCGTCATCCCAGGCATCCTGACATCCTTCCAGCGAGTTACTAAAATAACCCAACATTTTGAAGGGAATTATGCCCGTTTTTTTTTTGGAAACAGAAAACCGATTGATGGGTGCTCTTACCGATTAGGAAGTATTAGAGAAAGGAGCTTTTAAAACTGGATAAAACTGAAATATGTGATAGATTCTAGAACTTTAAAAATCGTAGATCAAACTACATATAATGTAGAAAGATTACTTAATATTAACAACCATTATCTTTTCAAGCAACCATAACTGTCCGATAGAGTACAACTTATTAAGCTCCCTTCATTCCGGAGCTGTCGGCGAGGTCAATGGAGTGCCGCCGAAATTCCGCGGAATTAAACCAGCCAGAACCTGCCGAAAATAACCAAAAGCCCCAAGACGAAGGAAGAACTCAACTCGAACTAAACGGAACCACACCGAACAAGGGCAATTTGCGATCGTTGGTAATTACAATTGGGTTTGGGGATCGTAGGGGGACTGCCACTCAGAGGAAGGTGGTGGATCGATTGGGGCAGTGGTATTTGGTCCACCAACCGATGAAGTCCAGGCTGGAAGATCCCTGAGGAATCTGGCGCTTCTCGAGGGGCTGTTGGATGAGATAGCAGAGGGCGCAGTAGGGTTGCGAAGTTTTGCGCAGCTTGTAGAGGGAGTGCCACCAGAAGAAGCGCTTGTATTCCTCCGGGTTGTTGGTTAGATCCTTCAGATGACCCATAAGATCCTTTGGGTGGGCAAAGTCCAGGCTGCTAATATAAGAATGCTGAGGCACCAGATTGGTTAGGTTTCCTCCTCCAATCAGAACGGGTACCAGATATTTATTCATGGCTGTATACATCTGCGGGGGCACATAATCCGGACAGGCGGTGGGTTCAAAAATCAGCATGAAATAATAGTGACTGCAGCTAAAAGGGGTGAAAATCGGGAAACGGTTAGAACTTTCTTAAGATGGATATACAATAACCTACTCATCGGAACCCAGGCAACTTTCATGGGCATCGAGATCAGCATACTTGCGCAGCTCCTCCAAATACAGGCTCTCTGGGAGACTATTTTCATCCACCTCATACATCAAATACACAGCTAGTCGGGACTTTATATTTATTTCCTCCTCAAGCCGTTGGATCATAGAACCTGGCATATCATCGGCGAAGTTGAGGTTGGGAGAACGGAACCACTTGAGCCTCCTGGCCAGATTCGTATAGGAGAAATAGTAATCCGTCCAGATGAGCTGAGAGTCCAGACGATAGGTCATGGTCAAATTGAACAACATGAAGTCAGGCAGCAGACCCTGCGACATTGGCCGCTTGGCGGCATAAACCAGATAGTAATCGGGATTATGTTGGGTGCCATTCAAACCCTCCAGGGTATAAGGATGATCTGCGTTAATGACCACCGCATCGAAAGCTTTGTCGTTGTAGTTCCTTTGGTTGGTGACCAGGCAACCGCACTCCATGTGGGCAGGTCCACCGACCAGTGGCTCATTCCACAGCAGGATCATCTTGAGATCGTGGTCTTTGTCTCTATTCTGACGACGATATAGGGGAATCGTGGCGAAGAGCATGCAAACGGTGACAACAGCCACCATGGCTTTCAGGACATTCATACATTGATTGGGTGAGTATAACTCCCGCTGGAGATTCCTCATCGAGACTGGGGATCTCCGGGGAGGAGGTAGCCTAATGGCATCCTCAGAGTTTATCGAGTCGCTATCCGGCATCCTGCGACTACCATCCTTACCATTTTCCTCATCTTTTAAGAGCTGGGATGGTAGAAATCTAGGGATATCCTCCATTCCATCAGTCTGCTGTCTTTCCAGCTGCTGCGGATCGGGATTCCTCCGAAAACTGAGGATCTTGTCCACTGGCATTGCACGAAGTCTATCTATCGGCATTGCCAGTAACAGGTCTTGAAACTGGATGTATAATTTACAAATAATTTGGCAAAAAGGGGCAGAAAAGTAAAGAAACTGCCAAAATAACAATTTCTTATAGCCCAATTTTTGGAAATCAATTTTAAAATAAAATACTTGTATCTTGAAAAGGTTCGTATGCTTACAGAATAGAAGAGCTTGAGTTGTGTATAAATTTTGATCTAAAAATCAGCGAATACTCGAATATTCCATTATCACTTTCACGTTGTTTGATTTATTTCTCCTCATAAAGTGGAATAAAATACAAATTGCCTAGCATCAAAACGTCGCTGGGAATTGATTGGCTCGATCGGGCATCTATGGAAAACCCCTTTTCAATCAATCCAGCGTTTTAACACCCCCACCCGTTTCCACTCCACCTGGCCACTTTTGCATTTCCGATTTGGCACTTTCATCAGAATGGCCACGCTTCCTCTTCGCCTTTTTGCCATTTGCAGCCCGTTCAGGCGAACAGGAACAAAGTAATCAATCATTTTGCCAAACCATCAGAAACATGACAATCTGCCAGAAAATTTGCGTAACGTTTCACGATTCACCGTTGGGGGGAGGTTTTCGGCGTTATGAGAGGGGGAGCATATAGCCATCGATGATATATCACTGCAATTTCGAATATTCATTTCTCCGCTGTTGTTTTTCCGACGCCTGCTCCTCATCGTCCTCCAGTTCTGGGCTCATTTCAAATGCGTTCCGCATCCGCGATGAGGATGTGGATGTGGATGTGGATGTGTCTGTGGATGTGGACGTGGAGTGGGTGGATGGGGTAGAGTGGGTTCTGAATAGTGGACAGTGGAAACGCCACTTTGCGGACGTGCCAGGCGCTCCAATGGATCGTCGGAGCGATGGAGTGGATGGATGATGCCGGTGTCATTGTTTCCTCACCCATCCTATCCCATCCTCCTCCGCCACGCACGTTGTCTCAATTATGGGAGAGTGCCAGTGAGAAGGAAAAAAACATATATACAAAGAGGAAGTGCACTTAAAAAGGGATTTCCTTACATGTTCTGAAGAATTCGCGGTGACAACAATTTATTATAGAACAGAACATCTTTGAACTGTTCACATTTTATGGAGTTTTATTCGGTTTTACAACTCTGAGTACCTCAGAAAGCTGAAGAATTCGCGAGGTTTTATGTGACACAGTGTATACACACCACTTTTATGTTGCCAGTGTAGCCTTGCGGGAGGAGCTAGCAATTTTCGAATTGACAACCATTTAAATGTTACGCACTCATGTTAACTTCCACAACGTGACTCGCCGCGAAGGAGAAGTATTCCCAAAGGGTTTCGGGGAAGAGGAGACCATGTAAATTGCCTGGATCCGATGAGTTATGAAAGTGAAATGGATTTGTGATTGCCGGCCAGACGAGCGAAATTAGAAGACCGCCGAACCGAGCCACCGAACAAAACAAAGAAAACCCAACCGAAGCGAACCCAAACATATATAAATTTTAATTATTCCCGCGAATCGCTGGCGAAGGAAAACGAATGCATTCTGAGATCCCGATCCCAATACCAAATACCATATACCATATACCGAGTACCACCGATCCTGCTGCTCCAAGTCGGCGAATGGCGAATGGAATTGAAATTCCATTGTGAATATTTTTTGGGGGCGTTGCCGGCGCGTCGAGAAAAAATGCAATAAATATGCATATGAGAGAGCTCACCTCCAAAGGAGGTACACATATATACCTATGGGTGCTTCAAAAAGGAGTCCCGAGGAGCCGAGTTATGGCGATTTGAATAATTTGGTTCCCACACTTTCGAAGATCTCTCCACTGGCAGCCCAGCCGTTTTTAATTAAAGTTATTAATACGGCTCCTCTTTCTGGACTAGGTGATTTACCTAACCACAAGATCTGTCTGTCTGCCCATTCCACACTCCAAACTGAACAGTCTCCGCTGACTTTTGACTTCTGACTCATTTAAGGGGCTACTTATCGGAACTGGAACTCGAACCGAAACTGGAAGGTGTCCTTAAGCCCCGATCTCGAACGCGATCGGCAATTAAATGCCGCACACATTGTTGGCAACTGCTTAATTATCCATTCGATCCCATTCGATTCGATTCGATTCCAAAGAGCCGCCTTCAACTCGATTGCGTTGTCTCTCGGACCCCGGATCCTAAGTCTTCAGGCCTAAGTCTTAGGGAAAGGAGCCAACGAATTAACATGTAATTATCTCAGCTTGGGCCGCTGGCCAAAGGAAACGCATCGAATCGCCGGCGACACCCGGACCAAAAACAAAACTGGCTAACAGTGATGGCCTTTCGGCTACTTTCTGTCCTAATTTTGAAAAAATTCCAAAACTATATATGTTTGAAATTCGGATTTGTCTTTATCATTATCAGTACTTTTTGTCGAAAACTTGCCTGGTTTATATTTTTCGATTTAAGGGTTTTACTGATTAGAAAATAAACAACGAACTACAATTTTCAATATCAAGTTATGAATCTATAATACCTGTCAATATTATTGTTCCGTGTATTAAATTAATACGATTTTTTCAACTTCTCCCAACATTAGACCAACAGATTTAGCTATTTTTTATCATCTTTAAAAAGGCATCTTTGTTAACCAGAACCGCGATTGCAGCCTAGACCCGAGAAAAGATGCAGATACAAACCGAAACCGAATCGAGCGAGGGATTCTGAGTCCAGAGGCTGAGGTAGCAGCTGCCGCAGGTTGCGTGCGTGCCGCTTCTTCCTCCGCCCCTTTGATTCCCAATTCCCGCTCCTAGGGGCGTGGTCCTTCTTAGGCGGATTCCCAAATTGATCTCGGACTTCGTGGACCCTTCGAGCTGAGCTGATCCCAACTGAACCGACCACCCGCACTAATAAGACGAGGGGAAGGGGCAAGTGGCGCTAAAGTTGTCAGTCGCCTTGTCCGCAGGCGACGATCCTCTACACCCTAATTAGGTGTTATCTACGACTTGGGTTTGGCTCCTTTAATGTGGCCGACAAAGTGAGAAGGCTCGGCCAGTGGTGGTTCCTCGGAGTGATTAAACGGGCTACACCTCGAAGACCTCCGAAGACTTTCACTATTAACAAGCCGCTTGGCGCCACCAGAAAGCGGAATATAATAATACAGAACTACGTTTACAATTTAAAATTAGATATTTAAAAAAAAAAAAAACTTCGTTTTTTAATGGAAAATATGGATTTTTGTAAAAAATCAACATTTTTTGTTGGGTTTTTTTGCTGTAACTTGGCCAAAACTGGTCTCACACGAAAAAGACGCACTGCAATGAACAGTTAACAAGCCATGTAATCGATTTCCGGCTGGCTTAGAAAAATTCAAATTTTCACAAATTTTCGCATTTTCGATAAGGGGTAACATCATCTATTTTTGCGAAAATTGGCCAAAAATTAAGTTTTTCAGTTTTAAATGCCAATCGATTAGAAATTTTGTTACGAGTTCAGCAAGGTATGGCATTCCATGTTCGGACTGTTACATTTTTTATTTCGACCAAAACACAAAAAGTGTAACTTCGGATTTTTGTAAAAAATCAACATTTCTCGTTGTGTTTTTTTGCTGTAACTTGGCTAAAACTAGTCTCACACCAAAAATAAGCACTGCTATGAACAGCTAACAAGCCACGTAATCGATTTTTATCACTTTCCGGCTGATTTACAAAAATTCAAATTTTCACAAATTTTCGCATTTTCGATAAGGGGTAACATCACCTACTTTTGCGAAAATCGCTCAAAAATTAAGTTTTCCAGGCTTAAATGCCAATCGATTGGGAATTTTATTACGAGTTCAGCAAGGTATGACATTCCATGTTTGGACTGTTACTTTTTTTGTTTCGACCAAAACACTACTCATTTTTGGGAAAAAAGTGTAACTTTTGATTTTTGAAAAAAATCAACCATTTTCAATCCGTTTTTTTACTGTAACTTGGCCAAAACTAGTCTCACACCAAAAAGAAGCACTGTTATGAACAACTTACAAGCTAAGTAATCGATATCCATCACTTTCCGGCTGGTTTAGAAAAATTTAAATTTTCACAAATTTTCGCATTTTCGATAAGGGGTAACATCATCTATTTTTGCAAAAATTGACCAAAAATTAAGTTTTTTAGTTTTAAATGCCAATCGATTGGAAATTTTGCTACGAGTTCAACAAGGTATGGCATTCCATGCTTGGAGCGGTACTTTTATTGTATCGTCCAAAATACTATTCATTTTTTGGGTAAAAAGTTTAACTTTGGATTTTTGTAAAAAATCAACATTTTTCGATGCGTTTTTTTGCTGTAACTTGGCCAAAACTGGTCTCACACCCAAAAGACGCACTGCTATGAACAGCTAACAAGCTTCGTAATCGATTGCCATCACTTTCCGGCTGATTTACAAAAATTCAAATTTTCACAAATTTTCGCATTTTTGGTAAGGGGTAACATCATCTATTTTTGCGAAAACTGGCCAAAAATTAAGTTTTTCAGTTTTAAATGCCAATCGATTGGGAATTTTATTACGAGTTCGACAAGGTATGGCATTCTATGTTTGGAGCGGTACTTTTATTGTTTCGGCCAAAATACTACTCAATTTTGGGGTAAAAAGTGTAACCTCGGATTTTTGTAAAAAATCAACATTTTTTGATCCGTTTTTTTGCTGTAACTTGGCCAAAACTAGTCTCACACCAAAAAGAAGAACTGCTATGAACAGCTAACAAGCCACGTAATCGATTTCCATCACTTATCGGATGATTTACAAAAATTTAAATTTTCGCAAATTTTCGCAGTTTTGGTAAGGGGTAACATCACTTATTTTTGCAAAAATTTGCCAAAAAATACGTTTTTTTGTTTTAAAAGCCAATCGATTGGGAATTTCATTACGAGCTCAGCAAGGTATGGCATTCCATGTTTGGACTGTTACTTTTGTTGTTTCGGCCAAATTACTACATTTTTTTGGGGTAAAAGATTGTCTAAAATTATGTTTTTTGTTTTTATACGCCTATAGATTGGTCATTTTTTTACGATTTTAATGCTATATGACTCCTAATATTTGTCATTTTTTGTGTACTGCTATGGATAATATAACAATTAAAGTAACTAACAAATTCCTTCGCCTTTTTAAAATCTCAAAAGACCGCCCGATTAAAAGACTTGTTGACCTACACACGAACAAGACATAATCTCGGGGTTGACGCATCCCCTCACGCATTTTGGCGCCACTTATTCGGCGAATGAGTGTAATCCATCATTGACACACTTGTCCACTCGGTTGTGCTTATCACTGCCCGGCACTACACATTGTAGGGTAATATAGAGCACTCATTGTCCAAATCCTAATTCATCCCGACTGCTTGCGCAATTGATGGCAATCAAGGAAGGGCAATTGCCGCGATCAACGGTGGAGACTGCTCCGTTCCATCACGGGATGACACATCCGGAAACAGGCAATCAGCAAAACCGGAGAAAAGCGGATTCCGCCGATTTGAGCGGGGCCAACTAATTGTGACCCCCTTTCGAGGTTTATCTATGATTTTATGAATGCAACTGCAAAAGTTCATCATAAATTGGATAAAGTGGACCACAAATCTTTTTTGTGACGCAAAAGCAAATGTACAAAGGTTATGTCATATAGTTTTTGAGAGAAATTTGAAAGAAAGCTGGAGTTTAAATTGATATTTTAAAGATTTTAATACATTTTGAACCATTCTGCTTGGTTTATAGCAATAATTTTAACAAAAGTAGTATAAGTTATAGTAGGATTAAAGTACTTTAATGTGCCATTAATTATCCATGGCTGAGGTTTTTCTTATTTCTGTAGTAATGTTTATAGTTATGGTTAATAGCGTTAATAAAAAATCCAACTAGTTTATATTAAAACGGAATACATATACAATACTTCTTGATAACTGGATCATTCGTGCACTTGCTGTGCTTTTTGTAGGACTCGAGACGACTAATCTCGTCCACCTTCATGATCAGGGACTTCTTATGCGTGTTCCACTGTACAGTGGCCTCGAAGTGCGCCAAGGTGGGTCTGGTGTAGAACGAGATGACGTAGGTGTGCAGCTCGTCATCTTCAACGGACTCATCGGTAACTGGGATCTTGCGGTCCATGTGAACGACCTTTTTCAAGGCATAGTTTTCGCAGATCTCGGTGAGATTTCGATCCTCCAGATGTTGGTTCATATGGCGCACCACCTCGAGAGCCACTTTCGTAATATGTTTCTTATTTGTCACCGTTTCAATGGGTTCACAGGAGCACCACTTGTCACGAATTCCCGCCTGAGAGCATTTTCTATTATGAGGAAGTTCGAAGAACAGGGACTGACATCCCTTGCACTGTGAAGCCCGAAGATTTGGTTTGAACTTTGACATGGAGCTCACGTTCAGCTGGAGTAAGTGATGCAGAGTCATGTGCACATCGAAACCTGAGGACAGGCGATTCTGGTTGGTCTTTAGGTTCTCCACATACTGGGGATATCTTTTCCTAAACCAGGGTGGAACATATATAAACATCATGGGAAGACGTTCTTCCAAATAACCCGATTTGGCATTCTGTCGAGTTACACCGTATCTATAGCCGTGATCACTCAGCACAAATACTATCGAGCGGTTGAAAAATCCCAGTGCATCGTACACTAAAAGGTATTCCCAGAAGACCTTGTCCAAAGCGGTGGCTCCCAGGAAATCCTCATGGGTGAAGCTGTTGCTCCAGAAGATCCCAAATACGGGTGCCACTTTCTCAAAACGTTGCATAAACTGCCTGGCAAAGTCGAATACATACTTGAAACCCAATTTGCGGCCGAGGCAGAACACATTTCCGAACTCACGTCGAGTTTTTAATATGGTTTCCAAGGCAACTATGAAGTTTCTGAGATAGTAGTCCACCGGCTGCTTCTTAAAACCGGGCTTATGATAGTTGAAAGTATTGATGTTACCACAGTCTTCGCCGAAAGCTGTTAGATAGCCATAGCTCTTGAACCTCTGCCAAATGTACTTCAGTTTGTCTATAAATCCGCCATGACTGAAGCGACTCTGTGCCATGGCCTTTTCCTCGGCATTTCCAGTGAGCATGGCCAAAAGATTGGGTATGGTATTCTCACCCACCTTATTGAATCCCTGCATCTCGAACCATCCTGGTCGTTGCAAGAATTTATGGAGCTTCGGCATGGAGCGTCTTAGGTTCAGACGAGATGTGGAATCAATACCTAGGATGATCACGTTTGGCTTGGATTCCTCATCAGGGCGATCTTCCTCTGGATTCTTAGTCTTAGGACTGAGGCGGTCCTGAACAAAGAGGAAGCCATCCTCTTGAAGAAGCTCCATTTTCTTTCTTTCATTTACGGCATAGCATTGGGTACTTAAAAAGTCAATGCCTTTGGGTACCAAAAAGGATTGGTTCAGAGGTCGAGGATCAGAAAGACTGCAAAGGAAAAGCGAACATTTATAAGAACTAGATAACATATATATCTAAAGAACCCACGTAAAATCCTTATCCGGATATGAGGCACTTTTATTCCGTCCAATCACCTGGTATTGACACCTGAGTGTCGCATTTGGGATCTTTTTTGAAAGCTTTTCAAAGACGCCATCATCAATATTGAGCCTGTATTGTCTTAGGTCCGGATCGAACTCACTTAAAACCAAATCATTATCCGTGCTGCACTCTTTGAAATGCTTTTTCTTGAAGACTTTCATTATGTCCGTGGAAAAGGGATCACTTTTGGGCATCTTGCAAGAAGGGCTATCGACGTAATATTGTCGATTTTTTGTGGAGAAACTTTCGATATTTGGATAGTGGGAGTGCAATGCCAATTTGGCAATGCACAGTATAAAGCCAAAGCCACAGAGTAAGAGTACATTACTCTTTAGACCCATTATATCGACTAAGTTATCATTAGTTAGGGTTCATATGGGTAGCATTGTTATAGTAGCGAAATTAGTTATGCTAAGTTATATTTTGTTATGGATCAGTTTAGTTAAAATACTGGGAGTATAATGTTGTATACTTCTTCCCTCAATATTACAAAATCCTCAACGTAATAATAATTCTATCTAGAAATCCCTTTTTTTTCTTTTAGGTTTCCTTACCGATGTCTCCTCTTTTAATGGTGTGTCTTTCAGCACTTTTCAAAATGCATATTTATGCGAGTTTGAGAGAGTGCCCAAGCACACAAATCAAGCTGACTATCTGGAACCGTGGGCTATATCTTCCCAGCCTTGTTTATAGCCTTATGGCGTGAGACACTGAGACATGGGCAATTATGTAAATATGCGGCGGCGCCTGTTAGCTGGGAAAGTCTACAGGACTAAGGACGAAGGACACAATGGGACAACCGCAAATTATTGCCGGCCATTTGGCGAATGAATGCGTGACAAAACACAGGGCACAGAGGACACTCCTTGGATGGAAACGGGGAGTGCTCACAGGAGGCACAGGACACAGGCGACACTCGCGCACAAGGACAATGGACAATGGGCAATGGACAGTGGGCGCAGCGGGAGTGGCAGCGAGGTCAAAGGTCAGCCGCGCTAATGTTGTGCTAATTGCTAATTGCGATTGGAACGCGGTGGAAATGGAAAACGCAAACAGAAAACAGAAAACGGGACAAAGGAGCTGCTGAGGCGGCGCTTGGCCTAATTGAAGTGTCCTTGCCGCGCGATGATTTACTGGCAAAGGTGCAACTACACAGGGAAAAAAGGAGTACCAACGAGACTGATTCAATGGCAAAAAGGATTGACATTTACTATTCCTTATCCATTTACGAACCTTTCATCTTATAAGTACGTATACCTTAGTAATATAATAGCCTTTTTTCCCAGTGCAGCGTAAGCCCTTCGCCTTTCATTGCCATCGAAAGCGGCGTCTGAAGATGATGACAGCAGCATCCGAGTGGACCACCCAGTGAGCCCTGCAAACTGCTGTTCCTTCATATCCTGGCAGGAGGTCCTTGGCCCCCAGAAAACCCCTTCTGCTCCGCCCCCGCTGGCTTTGTTTGGTAATTCGATCTGGCGCACGCGTGGCCAGCTCAAGTCGCAAGACCTCAGGACCCCAGGAGCAGGATCAATTGGTCGTCTGGCCAAGTGGATTACTCTCTGATCTTTTTCGGCAGTCGCCAGCAGTTTGAGTTGCGTCAGATGAAAGGTATAGGATCGGGGGAGACCCAGAGGGCAGACCCAGTCGGGTGAGGCCAGGTGTCAAACGTGTAACTGGATACTCCTCTGGCCACCTCCTCGTAATCGGGATCGAGATCGGGATCTGGATCAGTTCATCTTTAGTTTTGGCATATGCAAAGTGGACCACCAAATTGACTGGATCGACCGTCTGCTGTTTTTGGGTCACTCCTGGGAGATGCTCTATAGAGGCTTATGGGGTATAGAGGATTGATTATGAGATGGTATGGTAATCATTTTGAGGGTGTTCCAAAAGTATCTTGAGGCTTTTGGCTCTAAATATTTTTGTAGAATTAAAGGTAGATGTTGTTAAATCTTTCCGTTTTTAAGTAAAGTATTCTATCAAGGTTTATATATCCTGGAAAATTAAAAGACAATCAACCATTATAAAATATTATATATTCTTACAAGCACCATAATTATTCCTAAAAGTCGTTAGAAGTATATAAAATTAACCCACCAATAAATATTTTAGAGTGTTTCTAAGTCATAAAAAAACTGCAGAGCATACAAAATTCGTTGTTATACTGCTGATCCTTTTTCTTTTCTGCCCCTCATCTCTTCAATTTTTTTGGGGCCTTCAAAATTGTCTTTGGCCCGTTTCTTTTTTTTGTTGGCCACCAGAGTTGATTGAAATTTCGGCAATGACCCCTGCAGCAGCCGACAATTGTGGCCAAGACGGCAGCAAAAGCACAAGCAGAAAGCAAAAGCAAAAGCAGCTGGAAGCAGCAGACTGGAAGCAGCTGCCCCAACTTTAACTTGGCCATTAACGTTAACAGCGACCTTTAGTTTGCCCACTGGCCAAATCGACGAAGCGTTAAAACGCACACGGTGACAGCTTTTTGTTTATAATTTTTTTTGAGCCTTTCTTTATGGGCTTCATGGGTTAACAGTGGCAGTTGCATTTTGCCTCTGCGCCGCCGTTGCTTAATGTGCGATTTCTATCTGCAAATATAAATTGTAATTATTGCATTGTTGCGTCGGAGTTGCGGCAAGTTCTTATCAAAGGCAGCCATCATCGCCAGGCGGCTGACAAAGGCAGAAAAAATTAACAAAAAATTGCAAATGAGTGTCGAAAAGTACACACACCCCCCTTTTCCCCTTCTGGGTTCACCTGGCATTGTTTTTCCCTTTCCACGGCAGACAAAGCGAAACAAATTGCCCAACTTTAGTTGCCGTTTCTGCTGCTGCTTTTCGCGCTTTAACACTTTTTTGAATACGGGGAGAGGGCCGGGGTTTTTGTAAAATTGATGATGGACCCTGAGTTATTGCCTTGGCTTGGTGACGACAGCTGCTTCTGAAAAAAGGAATGGAGTGCGGGAAAAACTGGGGAATGACCACCCAGCAGTCAGATGAATCCCCTGAAAATGATTTAAGAAAATACATTTTAATTACGGCGCTCGAAAAGTGATGAAAATTGCCCGCAGAGAGAGAGGGGAAAAACAAAACGCGTTAATCAATAAATTGCCGCCCAGTGCAGCGATGATTTTCCCCCACCCCACCCATGGAAATGCATCCAACGGTGCGTATGAAATTGAAAATCAAGCAACACAGCGGCGGAGGAAAGACCAGAATCGAATATCCACTTGGAGCTGGTATCTCTTGGCCCTCAGAGACCACACGAATGGCGCCCCCATATGGAGATAGAGACCCTCCCTTTAGAGGAGGAGGAGGGGGCGGAGGAAGTGCTTTGATTTATCACTCACTGGGTAACTTGGAGTCGAGCCGATCTGTCTGCCCCTTTCGGCCAGGGCATCACTCACTTGTTTACCAGAGGTTATTACACTGGGGAAAAATAAGGACATTGGATAGAAGATATTTTAGTTTAATACAACGGGCTATATCCTACTTACACAGATGTTATTTTACGATAAAATACCATTTAAGATTAAACAAGCTTATAACAAAATAAGAACGGATAAAGATCTCAAGATTAACATTGAAGATACAAAGGTTTTTCAATTGGTTCCACAATACTAACAGACAGTATGTATCCTAACATTTAAATGGCACTATACCATTTATATATATTTCCATACTTATACTGTTGATCTGTAGACCAGATTGAATATATTGCAATGAAATACTTTCCAATTAAATATTAATTTTTCCCTGTGTATTAACTGCGGCTTTGATTGATGCCCCCACACATGCACTGGGATGAAAAAGAGAGACCCACACATGGCCACACCCAGACCCAAAGACCCAGACGCCGGCCTTCTCGATCACCTTCGTATTCCTCATCTGTTTGCCTTGAACTTGGATCTCTTGAGTGTTGCATCTTGGCTAGTAGAATTGGTAGTGGTCCCAGTTTTGGTATCGCTTTTGGCCTTTGCCACGGTCATGGCCCGTTAATTGAAATATGTTTGGGCCGCAGATCAAAGGGATCGAAAGTGGCGTTCGGGCGATGATGATGATGATTTGATTAATTCGAATGGGAACTGGCAACAGATCTCCGAGGATGCAGTCGATAAGGCAGATGCAGTGATGATGGGTTCGATTCGGAACTAATTAAAACATTTAAAGTAAAACACACACACGAAACAGGCAACTTTTTCGTTGGAACTACGGGGAAAATAAAACATTAAACAATCATAAAAATAAATACATTTTCCCACACTTTTGTGGAGGCAGCCAGAGCCAAAACAAAAACAACAAACAAATAATAATAATAAAAACGAGAAGCAGTCGAGAAACTTTTGTACTACATGGAAATGTCATTCGCATAACAACAAAAGACAACGAACCATGATGACGATGATGATGATGGCCAACAACCAACAACGAAACAACGCACAAAGTTTCAATTCTCCACTCTTAACCCCTTGGTGCCCCAGTTTGCGGCAAAGTTGGTGGCACCTTTTGTGGGGTCTGCTGAGATAACAGCCAACAAAATGTTTGATGTACTTGAAAGTTAATGTTTTGTGGTGTCAACTTTTGCCGGGCTCCTCGATGGTTGGGTTTTTGGGCTGCGTTGGGTTGGGTTCGGTTTTTGATGTTTAGCTTGGGCTTTTGCAATGGAGAGCGGCTTTTAATGGTCGGGGATTTTCTCTAATTTGGCTCGACAAAATTAGCCTTTATTTTGTTGGCTAATCGCAAGTGCTGCGGTTGTCGCTGCCAAGTTTGACCTTTCACACGCTCCCAGATTGTCGAAAAAACCCATTTTCCGCCGATCCCCCCATACACACTTTTGCTTTCAAGGAATTACAACAAAATTAACAAGAGCATTCGTTATCAAAAGAACTTTTAGCCGCCTCACTTTTGGGGCCTTCAAACTGAAAAATTGTTTTCCCACGCAAATTAACACTTGACTTTGTTGACATATTTGCTCAAGATGACTTCATTTTCTTGGGCGCTTTTTCCTACACTCACTCCCTCGCCTTCTTTAAATATTTTATTACTGTTGACCCACCTCCGCCCCGACTTCTCACCTCCGAAAAATGAAAAGAAACCCAGAAATTCGTGTCTCATCTGCGTTTGCTATAGATATTGTAGGTGCTTCACTTGTAGTGCGTCATTGTGTCGATTTTATGTGTTATTGGGTAATATTCACCGCTACGATTTTACAGTCACTAGCCATTGTGGATGGGGTGTCTTTGGTGACTCTTCCGTAGGTCCGGGAATTTGGCTATCAACTCTAAGGTTTTTCAGTTTTAAACCTATCTATTAAAGGGAAAAGATGTTGGATGTAAGACCACAAAGTA